ATGCTGAATTCTTTCTGCTTTAGGGCCAGTGTGATAACGTCCTGAGTCCCTCTGGGCAACTGGTGCCCTGCCTTCCCTGAGTGGAGAGCCCTGGCTAATGGAGAAGGGCAAAGGAAAAGAGATATTCACACAGACTAGGGAGAAGCAAACTTTTCCTCTGTGTCCCTGCCTTTGCCTCAGCAACTGTTCCTTTAAGAGCCCTGGCTACTTACCCCAAAGTACCATGGGAAATCTGGCAATGAGTACAGAAATGAGGAGAATCCTGCAAATGGCACAAAAAAAGCAAATCCGTGAATGAAAAAGAAATGAATTTACAATATTTTCCTGAAAATGCCTATTTGCTGGTTCATGTCACTTTCCTTTTGGATTCCAAGCATTTTGTGCACAATGTTGTGTGAAAACCATTCACACAATTGTGCCTAATACACTGGATAACCATGGGTTCTTCCAATTTTCCCAGTGTGATAAACTCCTACAGTTGCTTTGCAGCCTGATCCCATGCATGTCTATTCTGAGGTAAATAATCTATCTTCTAGATCAGCATATTTATTATGAAATCTTAATGCCTACTTTTTTGAGACCTATGCAATGATGGAAGTTTCAAGATGAATTTCTGGGTGATTTAACTGGCCACCCCCCCCCCCTTCTTCAATCTTCCCAGACTGCAGAGGAAGCAAATCTTCTTTCTATTACCAACAAGTTACTGTCTCAATACGAGAACATTTGACCATCTAGTGTAAAAAACAATAACAGTTCTGTATCAAATTAAATGGGTGAACATTTCTGGTCAAGAAGGAATTAGCATTAATGAAGCATGTGGCAGAGCAGATGCATCAGAGTTAATTTTTCCTTTAACCTCTATGTATTTCTTAACATCATAGATCTTAATGTGTCAGCACAAGCAGTACAAGCAGAGTATCAAAGGTGACTTACAAACAAGGTGCCCGATTGTTAGCTTCTTCACACATGTGGGCATGGACGGATGTGTTTTACGATGTGATAATGTTCATCATTAGTATTACTTACACAACAGGAGGGAGAAAGATTCAGTGCTAAAGAATGAGAAACAAACCTGCAGTTATAATCTTTTTTGAAAAAAAAAGGCAGTTGTGTTTTCTATGCATGCCAGAATATCCTTCCTTCAGACAACATTTTTTCCCACAATTTTTTTTCTTATGTCTTTTGCATCTCCTTCCATTCTCCAAGACTACTATCACCCCTATCAAGAAATTGGTTCCAGGGATCATTAATATCTCTATAAGTGATATTTTGAATGTGGGTTCCTATGTTTTTGCAGCTACCAGGATTAGTTTATTACAGGAGGGGGCTCATATCTGTAGCAGTACTATTAACCAGTTAAATAACTATTAGTCAGTGTAGCACAGTGGTTTGAATGTTGGACTACAACTCTAAAGATCTAGGTTTGAGTCCCACTGGGGCATAAAACCTTGGGAAAGTCACATGCTCCCATCCTCAGAGGAAGACAATGGCAAACTTCCTCTGAACAAATCTTGCCAAGAAAACCTCATGATAGGTTCTCTTTAGGGTCATGAGAAGCTGGAAATGACTTCAAGGCACACAGCACACATAAACTATTAACTATTGTCCTAGGAGACATTGTGATGGATAATAGTAGAATATGCCTGTATTGGTTAGCAGAACTGTAGCTGTCTTGAGTCACATCTAACGGTACAAATTAACTTGCCTCATTAGTTTCAATGAAAGTAAAGTGTAACAGAGTATACCAATGGTGAAATATGCAGGCCTAGCTTGGGATTATACTTGTGTATGTACATCTTTGAAGCTTGCAGAAGGAGGTATCCAGTCTTTTGCAAGGCCCCCTTCCAAGCCACTCATTAACGCTTGGCCTTACTCTACACCCAGTCTATAATGGTATTCATCTTTCAACCATATCTGTCCAATATTGAAAGATGCATGTTGGGTACACATTTCATCATGCTTGGGGAAAGTCATAGAATCATAGAATCATAGAATCATAGAGTTGAAAGAGACCACAAGGGCCATCCAGTCCAACCCCCTGCCATGCAGGAACTCCCAATCAAAGCATCCCTGACAGATGGCCATCCAGCCTCTGCTTAAAGACCTCCAGGGAAGGAGACTCCACTACTCTCCGGGGGAGTGTGTTCCACTGTCGAACCGCCCTTACTGTCAGGAAGTTCCTTCTAATGTTGAGGTGGAATCTCTTTTCTTGCAGCTTGCATCCATTGTTTCGGGTCCTAGTCTCTGGAGCAGCAGAAAACAAGCTTGTTCCCTCCTCGATATGACATCCCTTCAAATATTTAAACACAGTCCACTGAAATCAAGGGACAAGGTAGTCGTGACTACAACTAAGAGATTCCTACCATTCTGGCTGAAAGATGACTCTGGGATAGTGAGATGAAAATATAGTGTTTTTGGAAAAACAATGTAATCAGGCCCAAGTCTCCTGTCCTGACTGATGTTGCATCTCTGAAAATTAAATACAGGATGGCAAATGCTGTAGGTTAGCAGTTCTCAACCTTTGGATCTCCATATACTTTGAACCATCTGCTAGAATATCTGGCTATTTGGCTATGCTAGCTGGAGTGTCTAGCATTTGAAGCTGGGGGGAAAAACCCTGGAGGATCAAATGCTTAAACCAGTTGTTTGAGGTGAACTATAGATTTTACATTTTTGTTGTGTGACTTCAAGCTATTTCTGACTTATGGCAACCATAAGATGAACCTATCATGGGGTTTTCTGGGGCAAAGGACATTACTACATGAGCCCCATTCTCTCAGCAATCACATCGGTTTTTAAAAACTGGAAACATGTAGGTTTCAGGGAAGTCATTATTGCACATCTTCACAATTGTGTGACTGCATTCCTGACTCCCACTTAAACCTACCTCCCTGCCCTATGCCTTAGCCAGAATGCCTTTCAGGTTTTTTTTTTAAATTATTTCTCCCTTTTACACAATTTAGATGTTATGTCAATGGGATTTCCGTGGGGTGGGGGGAGAAAAGAAAATATTTTTTTAAAAAAGAAACGAAAACCAACCTGATTGGGGATAGTGATGGGGGTGGTGAGAGGGAGAGATGAGGAGAGAGCAATTAGGGAGATTATTGCACGGCCTTTCCACCCAGCCTCAGTGTGAGCTGAAACTTTTGAAAACTTTTTTAAAATAGGTGTTATTGCACACCTCCGTGCCCAGTCTGGAGGCATCGCATACTCAATATTGGCATCCCGTACCCGATCCACACTTATCCCATACTTTGCAAAGAATAGGAAACTCCCGTTCTTTCAAAAGAGCCTATTCACACAGAATATACTCCAAGTTTTGCTTGTTTGTCTTTGTTTCACCGGAGTTGTGATGATGAAATTAAAATCACTGTTGTTAAACAGTTAAAAATCTGTGCTTATACTGAAAGTAATTCAGACATCTGTCACTAGATTCATTATTTTTCTCATTGCAAGGTATATTAAGTCTCAGGATACCAAATGAATTCCCAGGGATTCTGATTTTGAGAAGTCATTTTCTCCTAGGCTGAATTTCCCTCCACCCCTGTGAACTGGTATTTCTTGGTTTTAAATTAATAGGCGGGAGAAATCTATTGTTCTAATTATTTACAATCGTGACTTTTCTTGTTATTTTTTAAATGACCCTGATTTTTAACACAAAGCTATTGATCTTGGAAAGAGATCTGAAAATGATCTTGGCAGCTCATAAAACCTTATCCCCCAGTTGGATAATTTCTCTGATAGATTCATTATATATGCTGAACTTTTAACCCTTGCCAATTACAATCTTTCAGAGGGAGTTATTCAAATCCCCTATGTTTAAAAATACTTTAAACTATTAAAACATACAAAAAACAGAAAAAAGAATAGCAGACTAGCAGAAAAACTCCAGTTCACTCACTCACTTGGTTTTCAGACTTTTCACTAGCTTAATTATCCTCCTCTGGGTATGTTTTGGGTTACTGTGATGCCCAGAACTGGCCATAATACTACAAAGTAGACCAGTGTGATACTATTATTACTTCACTTGATCTGAACACTATATTTTTATTGATACAGCACAGAACTGCATTAGTGTTTTTACCATTGCATCACACTGTTGACTCATGTTTAATCTGTAGTCCCCTCACCTGGATCTGAGGTGTTAGATATCAGGTACAGTGTCATCTATAGATTTGTTGAGTATCCCTTCTACTTCTTCGTCTGACTCATTTATAATGGTGTTGAACAACAATGGTCTTAAGAGAAAAATCTTATGGCACCTCACTTGTCGCTTTTCTTTGGAAAGATAAGGAACACTTGGCCAGCTATAATCAGGTGATCCCCAAACTCATATCAGGTATGTGGCACTGGAGAAAGAGGTTTACTCTTTCTTCCTATGTGGTTCATATTATTACCTCCATAGGATGGTTGTTTGCCATGTGCATACACATACTTGAATGTTTTGCGCTTTGGGACAAGTCTCCCCCTTCATTTATATCCTGTGTTTGTCCTAATATTGGGATTAAAGATGGCTTGTGGAATATTGAAAATAGAACAAACTAAAAACATACAAAGCCATCATTTGTATGTATGTGTTATTTTATAAAGCAAACCAATGAGCACAATAGATCTTACACCTCGAGGACTCCTAAGGTTTTTGTAGCCTTTACCTTCTAGCCAAGAGTCCAGGCCTCTGACCCATCCCTAGCAGCAATACCTGTTGGGTTTTGTAGTCAGAGTGGAAATGTACAGATGTGTGAAAGCCTGGTAGCTGGGAAACATTTTGCTTGCAGGTGAAGTACAAAAACCAATGTTGTATTGGAGCTAGCACTCACAGGGTCAAAGGGCTGGGACCTTTTGACTAGCAAGGATGATAGTGATACCATCTATTATTTCCTTGGGCTTCCCTTGTAATCCTGACTGTAATGGGAGGGAAAATTTATTTTTCCAGCAATGATATATTGTTTTGTGCTATGTGTGTTATAATGCAAATTATTTCTAGAGGGCTGGTGGACAATTAAGATGCAGGAGCTTTACAAGAGATCTGCTCCAAGCAACAATTGCATTTCACAGTTTACCACTATATAATTGGGATTTATCCCACCTCCAATGCCATGATGTTGATCTGCATCAGCCCTACTTCCTTGGTTTCCTTCATCCTTTACAACATAGGAAATCTGACCATGGATGTCATGCTGTTGGACAAATCTTGCTGAAGTATCCCAAGCTACAAGTGGAAAAATAAGAATCGGTACTCAGACCTCCCAGCTAAAACATTCTCAGTGTTACTTGAGACTAAGCTGCTTTGTCAATGGCCTGAACTACTTTCTTTCCAAAGGGTACTGGATCATTTGAGTTGATGCAAAAATGCACACAGTCACACACATGACAAGAATAAAAAATAAATAAAACTGGAGCATCTCCTCTGGTGTGGCTGAAAAAAACACATCATGTGGCATTGCTCAAGATTCAAATATACCCCAAATTGAGTTATCAGAGAGAAGGTGGTATGGCCATCAATACACCACTGATAATGTCAACTGTGAAAAGCCAGTAGGAAAGATCTGATACTTTTATTTTGGATCAACTGTATTGGTACAAGTTGTAATCCAAAAAAAGTAAATTTCTGTGCTCTGATCTGTAGCCATTCCATTGCTCTCTTTCAGCCACTGTTTGGTTTCTTAAGTTTGCATGCACTTTGATTACCCGTACCCCCTGCCTTCTAGCCACATACGAATTTTCCAATATATGTCAATTTATAGCCCCAGTTAGATAAAAGATATGCATGTTTTGTAGAGCAGGACAACTGCAGGCAAACCATTCCAGAAAAAGCTACCATGTCTGGAAGACTATGCTCATTTGCTTAGTGAGGCTTATTAAACGTTCTCAGCTTGTCTCAAAATCAATTCTTCATGTATTAAAAATAAGGGGAAAATAGTGTTTAATTAAACATAAAAGGCTATTCATTAAAATCCCCGGGTCTTCTGGCACCCTGAAGTGTTAATCCCTCTAATAAAATATAAATTGTAGTTTGATAGGCAAGGCTACCCAGAGCTACAACAGACTTGGTCAAAAGAGTATGGAGATTGAGGTCCCTCACAATGCTACATTAGAGAAGAAGCTAGATTTATGTATAAAATTTAAAAGTACTAAAGCATACCCGGCCCATAGCCAAAAATTTCAAGTTGGGTTGGCCTGATTATAGTGAGGATGGCCACTATAGTTAAATGAAAAGTAGGTTAGAGCAGCAATATTTGTAAATACATTACGAAATAGATATGAAATTCTTCACCAGGAAATATGTGCTGCCCTAAGAAGTGCAAGTACAGCTTGGAGATATCAATAGCCATCCCATCAATGGCAATCCAGAAGGATCTTTCTGTTCTGGGAAGGGAGTCTAAAAGGATCTTTAGGGTGGCCAACCCTCACTAGGCCTGTTGCTCCTGGTCTAAACTTG